GCAAGGGGCAGCCGCGCTCGGGGGTCACCTGCGCCCATGGGGACAACTCGCTGCTTCTGCTGCCTTCAAGGAGCACCGGGGACGAGGCAGGAACCGGCCCTCCGGGCAGCACTGCGTGACCAGCCGTGCACCGCGCAGCACAGCTCACACCCCCCGTCCCTCTGCGCAGGGACAAAGTGTCCCCCCCGTCTCATCCCGAGGAAGTTCGGAGGCGAAGCACTGCGACAAGTGGGAGCCTGCTTCCTTCTGCAAGGCACAAAGAGACTCCAGAGCCTTGTGAGCTCCTTCAGCAGCCAAACATTCCCATAAATCCCCCTTCCTGGGAGCTTTGTTGTGTTCTCCCTACACCTTCCCTTTCTGAGCAGTGCCTGGTCTGTCCTGACCCGCCACGGGCACGGAAATCCAGCCACGCACCTCTCGAGCTGAACATCTCCCATTGCACCAAGCCTGTAACGTCTGCTAAGAATTAGGAGTGAACACTAACGAGACCCTCACGTCTCTGTGAAGCTTTAGCAGGGTGCAGCTGCTCTGGAAGTACCTCCTCAGCACAAAACAGAACAAAAGCCACAGGATCCCCAGGGTGGCAGCGAGACTCGGAGCCTCCCGCTGCCACCGAGAGCGAGCCTCGTAACCTCACCCAGCCTCTGCTTCCAGCCAGGAGGGGGAAAGCTGTAACAGCACAAGGGGGAGACCCACAACCCCACAATCATCAGTCCCCTCTAGGCCAGGCGTCATGGGAAGCAACAACGGTGCCAGTGAGGGGTGCAGAAGCAGAACGAGGGATGCACAGTGGTACAGGACTGCAGCTTGGCCATCTCTGCCTCTAGATCTGGTGTTCTCTGAGGGAACACTGGGGAGCAACAGGAAAACAACCTTCCAGGCTGTGTCTTGACAGGCAAAATTAGGGTGGTTTTCAGTTACATGGGCTCAATCCACTAATGTAGCACCACTGAAAGCCCCTTGAAGACTTGTTAAGATGCAGACCAGCGTGTTGGAACCACGTTAACCTGCCATAGTGATGCTGGGGAGGAGGAGGAATTACTGCAGCTAATAAGATTGAAAAAAACCAAGTCATTTTGTCCATCAAGAAAGTAAAAAGCCCTGGAGTAAAAGCAGCCCCTCATGGGGGGCAGCTGATCCCCTCGCTCACAACTGCAGTCACAGCAACAGGCACTTTAGCTAAGACATAAAGGGCTCAGTCCTACCCGCCCTCCGTGCATGCTGACATCAATGGCTGTGAGGGGGTAATTGAAGGCAGAATGTAGCTCAAGGGGGGCTGGTTTATTGCTCTAGGAACAGTACAATGTGTTAGTAAGAACACAAAGTCCCCGGAGATTCCACGCATTGGATGTTTCTAAAACATGTGACCAGAGTTTTGACATCTCTGGTTACAGAATGCATCGCTCAGGAATTCATGAGGCATCAGCAATACTCAGCATGACCAATCTGATCATTTAAAGGCACTTTTTTTCTTTAACCTTAAGACTTAAAATGGAAAACAGGACAGAAACAGCGATCCCCACAAAGACTGCAGTTTGTTTTCCCAGCCACACTTCACCATGTGGAACGACAGCAGGTCAGATTCTCACTGCATTTCCATCCCTGCAAATGAACAGCCCAACTGAAGGCAGCAGACATGGCATGAACTTGAGCTAAGAGCTGCAAAAATTCAGTGTGTTCAGCATGTTGGAATCTCTGACACGCTCACAGGACATTGTGCCATTGGCTATGGCTCATTAACCAGATCTTTCTTTCCCCCCTGCGCTGCTTCAGAAGGGAAAAGTCTCTTTAGGAGAACTCTCTTTCTGTTTTACTTGCTCTTCAGGCTCCTCAAGATCCCTCCTTATCCCATTAAACCCACCAAAGTCACCGGGATGTCTCAGATGAGCACTGGTGTGCGGGGACAGGATGTTTATCACCCACTGCCAGGCTGATCTATTTATTTACCATGAGGCTTCATCAATCCCATCTCAGAGGCAGAAGATTTTAACGCTCCCATCAGATATAAAAGATGAAGGCAAGCTGAGAATGCAACAGGAATGCAAGAATTCCCGTCAGCTTTGCCACAGGGAAATGAGTTTGCTTCAGGGGTATAAACCCCTTGAACCAAATGAGAGAAAGCTCTGCTGACTATTTGTCTCCATGCAATAGAAGATGGCAAAAGCTGACAAGAAACCCTCCAACCCAGCCCCACACTTGCTGTGTGGAAAGACTCCACCTCCTCACAAAACACAGCTTTTTATTTCCATGAAAAATAAAGACATGTGGATATCTTAAAAAAGTTTAGGAAAATCTCTGCTTAGGTGCCTGCAGGGAGGTCTCCAATCCGGGCATGGAATTGGCTGGAATTGCTCCTTTTCC